GAAATGAATAGTATCTTTTAGTAATGTGGTGATTTTTCTCTGTCCTTACTATCCACCAGAAGCATGACTCTCCTCTCCACACGTCAGACCCCTCAGGGGCTCTCTCTCTGCCTTTGGTCTAGGCTGCTTGCTCCTGGTAGCTTCTGCACAGCCTTGCCCCAGACATTTCATGGCCTCTCAGCTGGGATGAATGAGCTGTTCCCAGACCCCCTGCCTATCTTTCTTGCTTTTCTCCATCCATTTAATAGAGGAATTATCTTGTAACTTTCAGAGAAATGATACGTCGGAGTAAAAATTTTTGTTTTAAAACTTGCATGTCTGACTGCATCTAATAGATGTACTCTCATGCGAGGTTGGTAGTCTGGGCATAGATTCTAGGCTGGCCAGATTTTCCTCTCTGAGTTTAGAGACAGAGTCTTATTTCTAGTTTTGCTGTTGAGAAGTTTAATGCCTTTCTAAAATTTTTAAAAAGATGTATTTTATTGATTTTTTACAGAGAGGAAAGGAGAGGGATAGAGAGATAGAAACATCGATGAGAGAAACATCGATCAGCTGCCTCCTGCACACCCCCTACTGGGGATATGCTCACAAACAAGGTACATGCCCCTGACCAGAATTGAACCTGGGACCCTTCAATCTGCAGGCCGACGCTCTATCTACTGAGCCAAACCGGTTAGGGCGCCTTTCTAAATTTTAAGCCTTTGTGTGAGACCTATTTTCTGCTCCCCTTACCCTTTCCGCAAACTTTTGGGAACCTTCTTTTTGTCCCTGTTGTTCTGACATTTTATTATAATGGGACTTGGTGCCCTGATTCCATCTGTTATTCAAGGACAGAGCTGTTCAATTGACCTTTCTGCATTGATGCAGATGTTCTCTATCCCCATTGTCCAGTATGGTAGCCACCAGCCACGTGAGGCTATTGAACACTGAGGAACTGCGTTTCTGATTTCATTTAATTTTAATTAATTTATACTTATATTTGACCAGCCATGTGACTAGGGGCTACTATTTTGGGCAGTGCTATATATTGGCCTTGTAATCTGGAGATTCCCACCCTTTGGCTCTGAGAAATTTTCTTGAATTATTTTTTTCTATTATTTTGTTCTGATTCTCCTACTGGACCAGCTGTGGGCAAACTACGGCCCGCGGGCCGAATGCGGCCCGTTTGAAATGAATAAAACTAAAAAAAAAAAAAAAGACCGTACCCTTTTATGTAATGATGTTTACTTTGAATTTATATTAGTTCACACAAACACTCCATCCATGCTTTTGTTCCGGCCCTCCGGTCCAGTTTAAGAACCCATTGTGGCTCTCGAGTCAAAAAGTTTGCCCACCCGTGTACTGGACAGATGGTGAAACTCCTAGAATGGTTAGTTTTTTTTATTTTTTTGTCTTCCATTTTCCATCTCTTTATTGCTCTTTTGGAGTGAATTAGTTAACTCTACTTTCCTATATTTCTATGGGATGCTATATTCTTTGTTATATATATTTTTTATTTCCTGAGGCCTTTAAATTTTATCTTGTGGATGATGGGAGCTGTTGGTGGATTTGAGCAAGAGAGAAATGTTACAAGATCCAAGTTTTACAAGGCTCCTCTGATGGCCTAGTAGAGGATTTTCTGGATGAGGCCAGCCTAGTGTCAGACAAAACACCTTAGGAGGTTATATCAACGATTAGGTTAGACCAGTGGTCGGCAAACTCATTAGTCAACAGAGCCAAATATCAACAGTACAACGATTGAAATTTCTTTTGAGAGCCAAATTTTTTAAACTTAAACAATATAGGTAGGTACATTGTTATTAATTGGGGTACTTAATTGGGGTACTCCTAAGGCTTAGGAAGAGCCACACTCAAGGGGCCCAAAAGCTGCATGTGGCTCTCGAGCCGCAGTTTGCCGACCACAGGGTTAGACCATAAAGACTTTATCCCCTTTTGCAGCATATTCTGAGGTACTTGTCTTTTGCTTCTTTTAACACTTCCTAGTTTATTAATTCCCTTCCACGTGGTCTTCTGAAATTTGCCTACCTTTTATTCATTGGTTTTGTCACCTTTTACTTTCTGCTTTCCTGGAAACCTAAAAAATTCAGATTGATATGTCAGAATTGTTTGCAACATCTTTTTTCTGCTGAGACCAGTTCAGTGAAAACACGACTTAGTAATGGATGTGCATATCATTTTTGGGTCACAACCAGCTCTGTACTATGTTTGCAACTACAGTGGAAGTGTGCTGGGCGGTGTGGAAGGAAAGGTCATCCCATGGACCCTGCTAAGTTATTCCAGGAGGCCCCTGGAATGGGAGCCAGCATGCCACTGTACAATTTGGAATCACAAGACCTGGCTCCAGGCCCTGGATTCATAGTTTAATTTCTTGGGAAAGACTCTCTTCCATCCTGAGCTTTTGTTTCCACACCTGTAAAGTGGGAATTAAAATAATACAACATTACTTATCTTACAGGGTTGTCATGAGGGTCAATTAAGAGAGACATGAAAGAACTTCTTAAACTGTACATTGAGGTAATATATTAATTCTACTTTTCCTCAGGATCATCTTCCAACCTTTCATATTTGTCCTTTATAAATATTCCAGCTTGCAGCCCCTTCTTCCTACCTGTCTGTAGGGCTCTATAATCTCAGAGATTCCAGGGGCATGCCACATTCTGCACAGTTATTTGTCTTTCTCCCTCCACTGGGAGGATGCTCTCAAGGATGGGGACTATATGGCTTGTAGCCCACAGTCTGATGATATAATTACACATAACATTCACACACTTGGCCTTGAATCAATACACAGACGGATAAATGTATTCATACAGTACACTTTCCAGTGGGAGCTATGGAATTTAACAGGTGCCTCCTGGAACAAAATTTAACTCTAAGATGACAAACTGTAATGGTAGAAATTTCAGGCTGCATGACAAGCTTCCAAATAAATAAAAGGAAGTGGGTGAGATAGTTGGGACTTTCCTAATTTTACCAATGAGACATGCACTTACTCAGTCCAGTTTTATGCAGCCTTGGAGAATTTCTGGTTAGGCAGTGGTTCCCAACCTGTGGGTCGCGACCCCTTTGGAGGTCGAACGACCCTTTTACAGGGGTCGCCTAAATACATCCTGCATATCAGATATTTACATTACGATTCATAACAGTAGCAACATTACAGTTATGAAGTAGCAACGAAAATAATAATATGGTTGGGGGTCACCACAACATGAGGAACTGTATTAAAGGGTCGCGGCATTAGGAAGGTTGAGAACCACTGGGCTAGAGGGACCTAAAGAATTGGTGACAGACGAGTATCACTTTCTGCAGAAGGCCTGAAAGGGAAAGGATAAGGAGAGAAGGAAGTGCACAAACACAGCTTAAAGGTCTCCTGCTTCTTTGATTTTTGGGAACCTTTAAGGTTTTGTTGTTGACATACTTCTTGGTTTCTCAGGCCAAGCAGACACAGAACATGGGTCTGAGTGATGATAAGGAGCAAGTGGAATTTACAGATGCACAGTACTTGCATCTCTCCCATCAGGGGCCACGGATTAGTATTACAAGCTGTCTCCTATCAGCTCCTCAGCGCCCATAAAACAAAAAATCCCCCACTGCTCAAAGCAGCAAGCCATCTGCTCTAACCCTCTTTGTCCCAGAAAAAAAGCTCATTCATCTCTTTGAAGTCTTGCATGCTATGTGTGCTGCCCATAGTGTGACATTTTGTCATGTCAGTGTTGGCTAAGGTATGACATTTGCCATGTCAGTGGTGGCCATTTGGCTGCTGTTCTCCTCTTCACACCCATTGGTCTTGGACTTGTGGTTTTTCAGAGAGAGAGAGGGAGCCATTCTTTGGTCATGAATTTGTCTAACTCCCTGTTTACTGCGGGGCCCTCTGGGGGTAGGGGGTGGGACAGGAAGCAGGATGAATTGATAAGCTTGGTGTAGCCATCACCATCTCATCCATGTCCTGCCTTTCCTTTGGGAGCTCCTCGTCAACAAAATTCTGATGGATCAGCCTGTATGTGCAATAATAATGGCGGAGGCACAGCCAGGCCCTCTTGTTGTATGAACAATCCAGGAAGATGGAGTGGTCACCAAAGGGCCACAGGGAAAGGACATGCAGAAGACCTAGCAATACCACTTTTACCAACTCAACTCTGCCAACATTTCTCAATACACACTATGCGTAAAGTGTTTTGCTAGGGACTAGTGATATAATGGTGATTAATACCAGACTGTGTCCTTCATAAGACCTCAATTTGATAAGGTAACTTGGTGTGGAGACCAACAATGGTGCCAGAGGATAGAGGACAATAATAGAATTGTCTGCAGAGACTAGAAATTACCAAGAAGAAGAAGTGATTGTATCTATTCAGGGACGTTGGCTATGAAGACTTTAAGAGAGCAGAATTTGTCTGAGCTAGGTTTTGAAGGATGAATAGGAGTCGTCAAGGGGGCACCAGAGAAGAATACTGCGTGGGTAAAGATCTGTAGACCTAGATCAGTGGTTCTCAACCTTCTGGCCCTTTAAATACAGTTCCTCATGTTATGACCCAACCATAAAATTATTTTCGTTGCTACTTCATAACTGTAATGTTGCTACTGTTATGAATCATAAATATCTGATATGCAGGATGGTCTTAGGCGATCCCTGTGAAAGGGTCGTTCGACCGCCAAAGGGGTCGCGACGCACAGGTTGGGAACCGCTGACCTAGATTGTTTGAAGGATTTCAAGTATTGTTTAGTTCAGGCAGCCATAGAGTCCAGGGCAGTTTAAAGATTTAAGACCAGTGACTTTACCTGAGTTTTCTGTAACATTTGGGCTTACTGATAAAACGGAGTGAGTAGTTCATTGATTTCCCACAGAATAGGAACTCAAGGGTAGTCAAAGCGGGAGTGTCCATGATGCTTTGCCAACTTTCAAGGTGGAGCGGGCATCTGCCGAGGGCCCTTTAAGTGCTGGCTGCTCTAGCCTCGCCCACTTTCTCAGCTGTAAACTTTCCAGTCGGGGCGGGGCGGGGCAGGAAGCTTCGCACGCACACAGGCACAGGCTGCCTGGCAGAGCGTAACACATAAGGCTTGCTGACGGGACAACTCAGAGGAGAAACTCTTGGAAGGAAAGTGGCCATGGACCTGATCCCAAGCTTTTCCACAGGAACCTGGGTTCTTCTGGCGGCCAGCCTGGTGCTCCTCTATCTGTGAGTTACTGTCCAGGCTCATGGCCTCTGTAATCTTGGACTTGGGCAGCTCATCGGGCCCCTCTCTGCCTTATCTGGTATAAAAATCCAGCCGGGGAAGATGCTTAAACAGTGGGCGCTACCACCACCAAAGGGATCATTATTGCTCTTACCCTGATCTGTTGAAAGGGTAATGAATGTCCCATTGGCCTCCAGCTCTCGATTTCTGTAGACCAGAGTGTTTGGGGACGTTACTTGCTCCTGGGGGTGATTTTCTAATTGACAGTTGTGGGTAGACCTAGACCAGGGTTCGGCAAACTCATTCGTCAACAGAGCCAAATATCAACAGTACAACGATTGAAATTTCTTTTGAGAGCCAAATTTTTTAAAGTTAAACTATATAGGCAGGTACATTACTATTAACTTAATTAGGGTACTCCTAAGGCTTAGAAAGAGCCACACTCAAGGGGTCAAAGAGCTGCATGTGGCTCGAGAGCCACAGTTTGCCGACCACAGACCTAGACAGTATTAACCAGAATTCAGCTGAGGCAGATTAAAAACAACCGGCTTCTGTCCTTGTCCCTTTCCCAGCTCCAGGGATCCTGGAGGCAGGAGGGAGTGGCCTGGGGTTTTGTCTCATTATCTTCACTTTCCAGTTCTGTGTCTGCTGCGAGAGATGTGTACAAGGAATGGCCCTGTGTTTGTTCCTGCTTCCTCCCTCCCACTGCCTAGCATAATTTACACCATGTATGAGGGTGCACCCCAGACTTCAGGGGGGCTGGAGACTTCCCCCTTTCTCTTCAGACTAACTCTTTCCTATATTCTGTCTCACCCCTAAAATTCCCCTCCTAATACTCAATTCCCACACCTTGTAACTGGCAGAACTATTACCCCTAAATGAGAAAACTTTACAGCAGAAGGAATTTAGCAGAAATCTTGAAACCATATTCTTTTCTTTCACCTTTTTCTTCTAGTCTTTGGGGAGGGTTGGCATCATTATAGAGATTTATTTCTCCCAATATGAAATCTGCTAACTGCCTGCAAAGGCACGAGCCCAAAAGCAAATTTGGGTTTAAAATTTTTTCCCATTAACTTACAGTGCAGGAGGATGAATCAAACCATCTAGCAGAGGAATTCCTTTCAAGCATGAGATTCCTGGCATCATGAAACAGGTTGAGGGAGAAGTCATTTTGGACATGTGGGTAGGGAAGAACTGACCCCTCTATGTCCCATTTGACCTCTATCTCAATTTCACTTTCATTAAGAGTAGGAAATCATGATGACATGAACAAAGAGAATATATACTTTGTTTCAATTCTATGAAAGAAATATAAATACAGTTTATTTTGGCAATATATTTTCTCTCTGATAACATTTTGAAATTAATTTATAATGTTTAATTTTATTTAATATTGGACTTGTTTTTTACTGAGATAAAACTATTTCCAGCATGTTCTTTCTGTAGGATAAAAGAGGCTGTTGGCTCAGGATTTATGTCCACAAAAGTGTGTAAATAACTTCACCCTACTAGAATAATATCAGGAATATGAGTCCATTGTACAAATATATACTTATATAAAATAGATTATATATATATATATAAATATACTTGCCTAACCAGTTATTTTAATCTCACAGTTCAGGTGAATAAGTGACCCAGTGATGATAAGAGAGGCATTCTGGATGGAGTGGGAGAATACTTTCCCCAGGTACTCCAGGTCCTGGCCCTGCAATAGGTCATTAAGAGGGCAACAGTGTAGGCATCTCATCTGCTTGAAATCTGGGGATAGGGCACCATCGAAGTCACACTGTGTGGTCTGTGTGGCAGTGGGTCAGTCACTAGATACTGGCACCACTGGATAAACAACACTGTAGCCTTAGAAGACATTGGTACAGCCATGAGTCTGTAGCTATAGAGTAGCGGTGCCCTCTTATGGCAACACGATGTAAGTGCAATAATTATGATTGGTTTTATTGTTAGCACCTTTCTTTGCACCCAAAGCAGCATTTCTCTACCAAAAAGAGGAAGCTGGAAAGAAACCAAGGAATTCACCCAGCCCACCCAATGCCTTGTTATGGGACCATGTGAGTTTAGACTCTAGACCAGATCACCAGTGGGATCAGTGTTGCTGACACGTTCTTTCAATTGCTTGGCCTCACTGGAGAGTTCACGTAACATGCTGAGAGTTCAGAAGCAGAAATGGTTTAATTGATTTGCCATGACTGTCATGGCAAAGGAAGGGACTCGGGTGGGACTAACCAAGGGTACCCCAGGTTTTGAAGTGAGTGCACATAATTGTACCAACTTTCTGGAGGAAGGTATCCAAATACCTATTTGGGTTTGACTGAAGTACCTCTGCTATCCTTCAGCACAGGCCCATTTATGCAATGTTTTTTAGTTTTTTTTTTTCATCCGATGTTATAAATTATTAAAATTGTGCACAATGTTAGAAACCTATACTTCCTTTCTTTTTTTTTTTGAAACCTATACTTTCTTAAAGGTTAACCTCCAAAGAAGAGGCAACAAAGTTTTAATTTGACTTTCTGGAACATTTCATGGCTACTTATTTTGTGTTGTAAAGCACATCTTTCACTGTAAACAGGAAGGTATTGAAGTTTGGAAGGCCGTCGTTTAGCTGAAAGTGCTTATAGGGCATCTTGAACCATTATACAGAGCCTACTTTCCAGCCATACTTTTCTAATTTGCCTCTATGAGGTGAGACTTGTAGGCCTAGCAACTTCATCCTTAAAATGTTTGCCAGCGGCCTCTTTCCTCAGCCTCTCTTCATCCTCCACTCTTCCATCTCTTAGTAATACTGGAGTGGGAAGGCTTGCAAGGATTCAGAACCCTCAGTTGTGAAACTCCACACATGACACATGAAAGATCAAATGCAGGCAGGCCTACCATAGTTAGCACCGGCCTCAATTTTGAGGTAGTTGACACAGAAGCAGTAAACTAACTGCTTTCTGACTGGCCATCTTGATAAAACGAGTGAGCCTGGCATTGTGCTTAGCAGCTGAGCATCACAGGGTGAAGAAACAAATGCAGTGAGGGGAAGAATGGCCTGGAAATTGAGCCTTTGCTCATAGGTTCCTTTATACAGTTTCATTCAGGAAACATAGGGGTCAGTCACCCTTCTCTAGAGCTCAAGCCAATCAAATTGCCTGACAACAGAGACTTGGGTGTAGCTGAAAGGCACATTTCTGTGATGCCAGTGAAAGCCCTGAACACAATTTTAATTCTATAGAAATAGCCCGCACTGTGGCTATTCTAAGGCCTCTTTATGGTGATATATTTAAGAAGAATCAGAGCTTAAAACAGGGTCAGGGCATAGGGGGAAGAAAAAGCATAAATGTGACTGAGCAGACTGTAAGAACAATGTCTCAATAGGCATGCGGTAACCCTCAGTTACTGAATGGATGAAGTTAAGCAAAATATCATCATTGGAACAGAAATTATTTTCCCTTTTTCTACCTTGAATTAGAATCTCCAACATTATGAACAAACAAACTTACTAAATAGCCATGAGTGAATCTCCTGGAAAACATTCCAGCCTCAGCCTCTTAGGAGCACTCTCCTTTGGAAACATTTGTCAAGTATTCATTCTGGGGTTGGGTCCATGGAAAGTTCAACTGATTTTATCTAATCACCATCACTTTCTCTGAATCTCACAGCGGAAGTGGGAAAAGAGGTGATGAGTGAATGTAATTATTGCTGTGGGAGTTGTTAACTACTTATCACCTACATGTTCATTCCCTACCTTGACTGGCCAGCCCCAGGACCTAATCCATAATTCCTGTAACCTGGCTTTCTCTTTCACTTTATAGATATGGGACCTCTACACACGGGCTTTTTAAGAAACTGGGAATCCCTGGGCCGACACCCCTACCTTTTATGGGAACTGTTCTGGGCTACCGCAAGGTGAGTGCTGTTTGGTCTTCTTCTTTTGCTTCTTATGGTTCCAAATCACAGCTGAGTTCCCTAGTAAAAGGGCCTTGCTCAGAGGAAGTTCTGAGGTTTCACACTTTCCAGAAAAGGCACCATAGGCCCCGCCCCGCGCAGGCCAGGTTTACCCCAGGCTCAGTGTCTGCTGTCAGGAGCCTCAGGGGCTGGCTCATTGAGGCATCAGAGCTCTCAGCTGATCCAGCTCACACCTTGTCCCAACTTGTGAGCATCCTGAGGAGCATTTTCTTTCTGTGAGTGCAGGTTCCCAGGAGGACAGAATCACACTTAGGGTTAGGAGAGAAGCATGAGGGACGCCTGGGAGGTCCCATGAGGTCGGATGTGCCAGAGTCAGACTTC